ATCTCAGTTTGACACCTCTACTCCTCACGATGGTATAACTAAAGACATGGTACAACTTGGTAGTTGTTTTTGGTACAGCTGCAAGAAAATAGTATAATTATATGTTATTTGGTCCAATGGTAAAGACATGATACAACTAAATATTATTTGGTACAACTGTAAAACCATTGTAACACTAGATATTATTTGGTACAACTAAAATAAAATGTATATATAGCAACTAGAGCTTATCAGACATTGATAGTCAATAGGAGCTTCTGAGATATTCATTCAATATTTTATCACCATTGAAAGAGCTCATTACTTACAAGTCAAAACAAAAACTTAAAAGAAACTTTTTAAAAAGTTGCGAAAAATTATAAAGATCTTCTTCGTCGTCAATTTCAATATGAAATTATATGAAGAACTGAGGTTCCGTCTGATACTTTCAACGATTCACAAAGTGGTAATATCCTCGTCATATTCCAACTAAACGTCTTTCTTATAAGAACCAAGAAAAATTACAAACATCTTATTCGTCATTGATTTTAGTCTGAAATTGTATAAAGAACTGAGGTTCCGTCCGATTCTTTCAACGAAATGGTAATAGCCTCGTCAGATTTCAACTAACTATCTTCGTTATAAGTACTAAGAAACAGAGCTAGATACACAGCATAAACAATAAACCCAGAAACAGAGCATAAACCCAGGAAAAAAAATGTCCCCTGTTTTTATGCTCTATAAAGGTTTTTTTCTCCATCAATGTCCATGCTGCGACACAACCAACTTGGTGTGTCGGTAAGCACTCCACCAACTTTAACCTTACAAAATAGCATAGATTATGCTTGCAATCTCATTGATTGTCCAATTCCTATTCCAATCTTTTGATTCAAGTCTTAACAGTTGTGGTTCTTTTGAAGTTTCGGTTGATTTGAAATTGCGGTGGTTTTGAAGTGTAGGAGTCAACCGTTTGACGAATACATATAGAATTATATGTCTTCTTGTAATAAACTTTGATCTATGTATGCAAACCTGTTTGTATTTATAATTTTCCTTGTGATGTTAAGCTCAATCGATGAAAGGATTACAATCTCAATCAAAGTTTATTGTACAGTGTTTGTATTTCTTCATTTGAAAAAAGTTGGAATAATAAAAGGGTCTCAAGCAAAACATAAGTAAACTATAAGCAAAATATAAATAAAATATAAGCAAACAAAAGTGCAGTGACTCATATTTTGGTTTAATTGATCATTATTAAGTCTTAGATCCAATGCTTATGACATCGTTGCATAAATTTAGGAATCACAAAAAGAAAATTAAGATGCTAATTTGAGGTATTGATTTTCATTTTTTCTCTGATTAAGAAATTTATGTATGTTTTTCATGATTAAGAAAATTGAATGCACAAAGACATTGCATAAATTTAGATATTGTAAAAAAAAAATATAAAATTTGGGTATTGGTCTTCATTTTCTTATCTTGTCTAAAAATAGTAAAACAATATATTAGAAGAAAATAATGAAACATAAAAGTTAGTGATTTAAGTTTAATTCCAAATAATCACTTTCACTCGACCCTTGCGTGCCAAATTCTCACTTTCGGACATAATTGACGGAGTAACTTCATCACCAGCTTATATACCCTTTTTTTTTACCACTTTTACTATATTTTCCATACATTTTATTGCTTTTTTCGTCCAAAAAAGTAGTTTCTAGTATATGTAGGTTTTAGAATTTTAACATATTAAAAAAATATGTAAAAAGGGATCAATAGAGTGTTATCTATGCTACAACAACTTGTTCAAGTCAAAATAACCAACCCAAGTCATTATATCTTCAAGATAAGAATATTCTCAAGTTGGACAGAACATATACACCATACGCTTTCAATTTACAGGTAAGAAAGCTTCCACCCAATACCTCCTTTGAAGAAGCAAGTAGAAAATACCCATTGTTAAGAAAGTTGTTTTTGCAAGGCGAAGAAGAAAAAAATGAGATTGAAGAGCTATTTGATCGAGATAGGAGTCATCAAGCCTACCTTAAGACCTAGTGTAAGAACCCTGATCAAGGGCGTTTTGCCATTCATTGCTCCATTCATGAATTCATCTTTGATGATGCACTTTGTGATTCGAGAGCCGGAATAAACATTCTCTTGTAATCTCTGC